GAACCTTCCCATAGATCAGCGGTACCCAACCTTTGAAGCTTGGCAGCCTGGCTGTGGGGGAAGAGCAGAACTGGACCATATATGCACATGCCCAGCCCTTGCCAAGTGGTGGGCCAGTGTGCCTTCACACAGCTTGACTTGCACGAGCAGCGGGCCAGGGTACACATGTGTGATTGCCCATCAGTCCTGCTGGTTGTTTAGGTTGAGCTCCACGTCTTCACACGGCCCATTTCTGAATAGACCATGGCCCAGTAATGGGGATCCCTGCCTTAGATAGTGGAATGTGGGTATAGAAATTAATTTATCCCAATATATAAAAGAAAGTTGGGGATTCTTTTGTATAAAAATGAAATATTGTGAAGAGATAAACCAAAATCATGACAACAAATGGAATAAATATAAAAAGTATCAACAAATACAGGTAACTCTTAACTTATGCCATTTATTTAACTACCATTCGAAGTTACAGTGGTGCTGAAAAAAATGACTGTCACAGTGTCCCCTTGGCCCCATGATCAGAATTTGGTCTCCTATCAACCAGTGCATATTTTTGATGGTTATAGAGTCCTGGGGTAATGTGATTTTTGAGCTTTCTAGGGGGCTTCTAACATGCATAATCAATGGGGAACCAGATTCACTTGATGACTATGTGATTCACTTAACAACCACCATGAGCAACCATGGAGGGAAAATGTCATAAAATCGATCACAACTTATTTAATGACTATGTTGCTTAGTGATGGAAATTCTAGTCCCAATTGTGGTTGTAAGGCAAGGACTACCTGTAGAGCTACTTAATAGATAACACAATTAAGCCCTTATCTATAGATCAGCAGTCTAAGGAACAAAGAGCAATATTGACAGATTTGTACCAGTGTAGTCAGAAAATGTACAGTGCACTTCCATTGTACATGCCTTATTTTACATTTGAATCATTGGCATTTCATATTCGTAATGTTAAACATTATGATTTTAATGTTGCAAGTTGAGATATTCTTTCCTTCGATGGTATCTATTCTATATGCATATTTATTTTTACATCAGTCATACCTTACTCAATGTTCCTTACATTTAATTAAATGTATTTCGCAATTGGTATCCATACATTTGCAAAACTGATACCATTAAAAAAGATTCAGAAAAGAGTTTTTTTCCAGTGGAATGTGTCACTCAGTATTGTTCTTGTTTGCTACTGTTTGCTGATTTACTGCGTAATTCTACTGTTCTACTGTTTGAACTTCTTGCTAAATATCCAGCGTTTGTTCCTCTGGAGAGAGGCACCGGAGGAGGAGGAGATATCTTTATTGGCTGATAAAGATATTGCAAGGACTCTTAACTTGGACTGTAATAGTGAGTCTTACTGGATGGAAATATAGTGAATGACTATTGGACTGAATGACAATGTTTTAAACTCTAAATGGATTAAAAACTATTTAAACTACAAACAGTGTTTGTGTTCAGTGTGTGTATACTCTGGGGCCCTTCCTGGCTTGACTACTGCTGCAATACTCTTCTAGGGGTTAATCCCCAAACCCTAACAATATGGTAGACATTCTTCATATATAAATGATATAAATCAGGGATCCCCAACCTTTTTGACGCCGCGGCCCGGTACCGGCATCAGCTGGGCGCCGCGGCCCGGTACCGGCATCAACTGGGCGCCGCCATCTTTTTTTGACGAAAAAGTGCTTCCGGTGACCTCACTGGAAGCACTTTTTCGTCAAAAAAGATGGCGGCGCCCAGCAACCAGCGGCCCAGTAAGAGTTGTTCCGCGGACTGGTATCGGTCCGCGGACCGGCGGTCGGGGACCCCTGATATAAATGACATTGTAGGCGATGACCAGACTGAGCCCGAAGGAGTGGTCAAATGCATCATCAATCATGAGTCCCTGCACACCCAGAAGATATCTAAGTCTAGCCCACCTTGAATTCCTTCTTAACTCTCACTGATTTCCTTTCACTTTTAGTAATTCAGATTGTTGTAGAAAGCTTAACCATGTAATAAGTCTTGGTGCTCATTTGATCTGCCTGAATCTCCTGATTTCCCCTGAGGCACATTAAAGTTTTAAACTTGTTTAGGTTTTCCATACAGAGGAGTTTTAATTGAAAATACTTGGGGAAAAATAATTTAAAGAACATTATATAAATTTGACTAAAAGAAATGGCTTTCTAGCTGAAGTTGAATATGAATGAATATAAGAGTTAACATTTTAGGAAGAGGTCATTAAAACAAGCAACCACAAATTTTGCACAGTACAGAAATGATTTTTAAAACTTTGCATATTTAGAAATTTATCAATAAAACTGAATGTTTTCTTCTGAATCAAAAATGATATCCAAATAAGTCAAGCCAAAAATATGACTGACAGAAGAATCAAATAGTTAATTACAGGTCAAAATAATAGAAAGTTAATCAGCAGATAACATTAGTGTGATAATGGGGAAAAAAAAGAGTTTGTTGCAAAGCAAATGAAAAGCATAATCTTATAGTATTATTTCAACAAGTATTGTGTACAAAATATCCAAAATTATTTCAATCCAAAATTATTTCAACAAGTATTGTGTGCAAAATATCCAAAATATGACACAATAGCATTTTTTTAAAAAAAAAAACAACCTTGCTTTACAAAAACAAACATGCTGTTGATACATTTTATGGCATGTTCATTTTGTCTCTCAATACTGGCTTATGCCTCTGAAGATCATCTTGTTCTTTGTTATGGACTATTATGCAAGAATACCTTGTTCTTTTGCTTTTTTTACCCCATTTTTTTTTTAAAGAAAAAGGAACTAAACAGCAATTTGCTGAAATTGGGGATTGGATTTCCCACCAAAAAAATTGGAAGGTCTATTATCTTTTACAAAATAAGGAAAATATACTTACTGCCTATCTCTTTGCAAATATTTCCACAGTAATGCCTGGAATGAATAATGTTTGCTTTTTTCAAATCTTGATCTTTGGTTTCTAGCCAGTGAGAAACAAAGAAAAGTTCAGCAAGAGTTTAATTATAAATGGTGTTTGGTTCAAGCAGGGGGGAAAAAGGAAAGCACTTATTCTGATTATTCCTTGGACCTTGAAAGAACATTTGCTGAGGGAGGGAGTGTGTATATATTAGCAAGGGGATTGTTTGATACTTTGTAGTCTTCCCTATCCAGCTCTGTTGGATCCTACTGCACTATGAGGCAAATAAACAACACTGGTGTTTCTCTCGGAATTTAGAAGAGAGATTTGGTGGCCAAGCTGGATTTATAGTGGGAACATTTTCATCCCATTTGTCTGTTTCACTGGAAAAGAGATTGTTGGCTTCATTTGACCTCGGTGGCATTGTCACATTGGTTCCCTGGTTGAAGTTACTGGGGATGAAAGAAGGTTACCCCTCTACCACAAATAAGTAACAGCAGAGCGGGGTAAATCAAATCCGTATAATCAGCAAAAGATAATGTATTGTTTAAATACAAATGGGTCCTGCCCCTAAAAGGACTTAAATTGGTTCAGATATCCAGTTAAATTGTTATATTCCTTCATCAGGTAAGAAACTTTTAAATCTTGAATCTAGTTCAGCAGAGCTCCTGGTATGAAACTGATTAGCAAGTACTTCGTTCTGTGGAAGATAAACCTTCTTCTGTTCAGATAATCTGAATATTTTGAAAATCTTTTTAATTATATTTATGCATGCTCATCTCTTTTCTTTGACAATTGTTTTTCAGTTGAATATATTTGTGCATGCTTTTTAAAGAAAAACAAAGCTTAGGCATATTGCCAGGATTTGATTTTGCTGCAATAAAATACAAGTTTTTTGTTTTTATTTATTTTAACAGATTTTTTCCTGTGTTTTGTATGTTGAATTTGTGTATTCCTGAAACATAACTCAATTTTTACCCCATTTTTATCTTGGTTAAATGTGTAATGGGACAATCCTGGCAAACACTACCCTGTCTTGCAATACCTTCATGTCTCTTGGTTCATGTGCAGTTCTAAATGAATCTATAATTTTCATTTTATGATGTGATTTTAATTGTAAAATCTGTGGATATAAATTCCAGTTCTGAATAAAAGTATTTGGGGAGGGGAGCGTTGAGGAATCTTATGAGCTGCCTTCCCCAACCTAATACCATCCAGATGCACTGAATGTAAACTCCCATATTTTTTTGACCACACACTCTGGAAAATATGGGCGTTTACACAATAGAGAATTTAAGTTTGGGAAAAGGAACAGACTAATAATGGGAGATGTGGGAGAACTGCTCACTGTATGCTTCTTCTTGTAAAGTGAGACTGCTTCTAGGCAGATCTAGAGTTTTGTACCCTGAACTTAGTTAGCCATGATACTCCTAATGCAGAGGGATAATTATATTTTTAAAAAGAAAGAACTCAGCTCAGGTACAATTTAAAAATTCTTCCTAGTTTGCTTCTTTCATTGATCATTGATATATCCAAACGAAACAGATAAAACTAGGATAAGGTGGTCAGACCACAATCTGGATTTCTCATTTTAACTAAGCAGACCTTTGAATGATGTCACCGCTTCATTAAAAAGACACAAGGAGATGAAAAACACCACCCAGTTGTTTCTCTCCTCCTGCCTCTGGATCAGTTAGGGAATCCCATGGAATGATTAGAATAAGAATAGAAAACAAATAATCCAAAAGAGAAATGCCTGCCAAATCTCCTAATTCATCATAGTTTTTCAAAAGACATTCCCAGCCTAAAGTATTGGGCTGTACTTGCAGGAGCAGGCAATAATTGTCTTCTAAAACTTTGGTGTTGTTTACTCCTTCTTATGTAGGACTTAGCATAAAAAAATCTTCCAGTCCATAATGCTGGGTAACTTCTCTGTAAAGATAAATCCAATCTGCTTCATAAGGCAAAAAAGTTTTCGCTGAATTTTACTTTAAGAAAAAAATGGTCATTTGAAAAGGAGTTTTGCTTTGAATGTTCCAAACAGGATATCTAACCCAACCAAGTTTTTACAGTGTTTCTCCTCCCCCTCCCCCTTACAGCCTACCCGGACATCCTCGGACAGTATTTATTCTAGGCCTGGATCCAGTATTCCTGGTTCACCAGGACACACAATCTATGTACGTATACTTTCATAAAATGTTTTATTAATTAGCTTTTGATTTAATGTTATGTTTTTAAGATGTACTTATTTAGATGTATTATCATTCATGAAGAAAAGTTCATGACCTGGGAAATCAGAATTATTTCCTCACTTTAATTCCTTTATCAATTAGATTTAACAAAAAACTTCTGCCAAAATGAATTGTCTTACTAAAAAAAATTTAAGACTCCTTTGTAAATGTTTGATTTGTTGTTTGGGCATTATCAGTAATACAGCTGGATCTCAACTTACAACTGGTCATTTAGAGACCGCTGAAAGTTATGACCAATGCTCCCCAAAGTACTTAGTTCCGAGGTTCTGACAGCCACTGCCCCTTCGGTGTGCACATGACTGCATTTGGGTACTTGGCCACCAGTCTGCATATATGACCATTTGCAGCATCCCATTTTCACATGACCAGGATTTACAATTTTTTTTGTTGAAAACCAGACTTTTACTTCTACTACTATTATGAACAATGAGTTCCTTTAACAACTACAGATTTGCTTAATGACTGCATTTATGCACTTAATAACTGCCAAAAAATAGTTGTAAAATTAGGTTAGTCACATGCTATATGACCACCACAACTTTAATGATTGTAATGGGCAGACTTCATTACAACTGTAAGTTAAGGGCTATCTGTATCACAAAGCTGTAATTTAAGGAAATCATTTTATCCCTTAATGAGTGGCTGACAAACAGAATAAAATGTTACAATTTGTTTTCTGAATGTGGTGTTTTGCAAAGTTGGCAAAATAGAAATTGCTGTGGACCATCAAAATCACTCATATGTGTATGAGTGACAGATCAATATGGTCCCCAAATACTGTTCTTATAGGGCTTTCAATTAATCAGTTACATGATACTGATGCCTGGATGCAACTCATAGTAAGCCATAGTCATTTTGTCAATAAATAAATCACGTTTGCTTAGCATTTAAAATTCACTGAGTCATAAACCGTGCTGAACTAGCCATGTTAGTCAACCAATAAAATCCATGGAGGTTTTCTGCTCACATCTGGATGTTGGATGGATGTTGACCACCAATTTCAAGTTATATTTTGAAGAGAAGTCATCATGTTCAGAAATTGCCACTTTTCTACCCTCTGGTTGCTGATCTTTTTTTTTTATACTTCTTTCTTGAATTGATGATTATCAAATCCAGTCAATGTAATAAAAAGTGGCCATTTGATTTAAAATGAATTTGGGGAGTGGAGGAGAAAAATGTGCGGTTTTGGTGGTTTCACAGCATTTGTTTTTCTTAGAAGCTAAATAATTTAGAACTGGATGCTATTCAAGTGAATCTAGAGATTTGTGTTTACCTGTTTTCCTGGATTTTTAGGCAAAAGTAGACAATGAGATCCTTGATTATAAGGATTTAGCAGCCATTCCCAAAGTCAAGGCCATCTATGACATTGAGCGTCCAGATCTAATTACTTACGAACCTTTCTACACTTCTGCCTACGAAGAGAGACAAGAAAGACAGAGCCTTGGAGAGGTAATGAACTGGAAGTTAAATTTGGAAACCAATTCACTTCTTATATGTAGTTAAGTTTCTGTTGTTTTTATAAACAGATGATGCAGGGGTCCAAACGCTTCATATTTCTCAACTTCTTTTTTATAGCTTTTAAAAAATATGAGCATTGGACTCTGCGCTTTCACTTTCCTTTTTCATTAATAATTATGTGTGCAGGGGGTTCTTCCCTCGCACCTCATGTACATGCTTGACGGGTGGTGGCCAAAGTAACCTCTAATTTTGAAGCACTCGGATGGGCATTTTAAGTTCAGGATTTAATTTCCCTTGAAGTAGCATAGATTCTTTAAGAAATACTGCTATGTGGATAGAGTATCTGTGTGACATATAAGCCGTAAAATGGTGTCTGAGTACAAGAAAACATTATTAGAATTGTAAGAATGACACTTGAGTTTCAAAAAATGACACGTTTCAAAAAATCGTTTTTGTTTTTTTTTGGTACATGAGATCTCTTTGCAAAGAAACCTTCTTTAAATTAAACTAGCTACAGTATGTCAGTTGAAATGGAAAAGCATTAATCCAGATATCAGAATGTCTCCAACACTTTGTAGGACATTGATAACCATGATGTTCCTCCCTGGGCCAGAAAATGAAGCTACCTTTTGGCAGATTACTTTTGTTTCAGTCTTGTCAGGATTGAATATGGAATATTTGGACACAAACATAAACTATGTTTATGTGTTATTATTAATGCTTTTCTTTCTGTTAGGTTTATACATAAATGAACAACAGAGAAAAGCAAAACTTTAATATTCATATCATTATCCTAAATGTTTTGATCATATGTATTTCTTGGAAAGATTGTACCTCAGGTTCACTGCACAGAAATGTTTTCACAGAGTGCCACCTAGTGGAAGCCAAGAAATACATACCGGTAGATTTCATTTTGCTATTGAACCTAAAACTCGCATAAGAATAACAATTCTTAACAAAAAAAACTTGATTATCTACCACTTTTGTGGTATAGCTCTGATCCATTTTGTCTTTGTTCACATTTACTCCTCAAGCTGCATTTCTTTTCAAGGGTCTCTACTTTCCGCTCGATCTTTATTACTGATTTTGATTTTGATTTGTTGCTCATTTCAGCCATTTCAGATATTTTTCTCACACTTGGTTTTGAAAAATCAGTGTATTTTTGAATAAGCTTACTGCTGTTATGTAATTATTAGAACACCATATGCAGTAAAAATGCAGACATTATTAGTAGAATAAATGTTATTTCCATATGTGTTGGCAGAGTGAATATCAACCCAAACATATTTTAAAAATAACTACAGTTAATTTTTATACAGCGATTATAATAGGAATGATTAAAATGGAACTGGGAAGGTTTTAAGTAGATCCATATTTATGCTTTCTTGGGACCTTGAACCAATAGTCTTTTCCTTTCTGGCCTTGACTTTCTATCAAGTCTGCTTTCCATTGTAAAATCTGCAATCCTAATTGTAACTTCAACCCTGGCTTGGATTTTGGAAAACTTGACTTGAATAAATCAAATAACACAAAATAACTTAGATTTTACTAGATTTCTTTATCTTCCCTGTCATTGAAAGACTAACGTTTATTCTAATTTAGGAACATGTTATTAAATAGTCAATGAATCATGCTATGTTCCATTAGTTGGGTCATATATTATCATTTCTCTTTTGTACCATCAGAGTAAGAAGAAAAATGCAGTGACCCTGAAAATGAATTAGATTGATCCCTAGCAGATAAGACCATAAGTGGCTATTACTCCTGATGATTGCATATTTTGTCTCATATAAAGGGTACTTTGAGAACAAGAAGAATGGTCCTGGTTCTGGGATTGTATAGACATCTGATTGGGCTAGGTAAAAACAATGTGCTGAACAAAGGCTTTCATCAGCACACAGATAATGTATTTAATACAGGGATGGATAATTATGGCCCTTTTATGACTTATGGACTTCAACTCCCAGAATTCATACTGGCTCAGGAATTCTGGGAGTTGAAGTCCACAAGTCGTAAAGGGCCATAATTCCCCACCTCTCATTTAATTCAATTGCTTTATTCAGTTCTTCTCAGGAATATATCCATGGACTTCAGATGGTTGGACACTAGTAACGTTTTCTGCTTCTAGATGTAAAGAATTAAGGTCAAAACTCAACTGTGAATTTTCTTGCTGAATTGATAAAATGTCCTTTACAAGTTGGATATTCAATGGGGCTACCAGTTATAAAAACCCTAGTACTTTACATATTAAGTATTAATTCAGTGCCGGGGTTGGTAATGATTAAAAGCTGACTGTGAAATATTCAGAGGATGGTAGATCCCAGATGCTAGACCTAAAATATTAACAAAATATTTTATTTTTCATTTTTATTAGACTGGCTTGATTTATTCTTGTAGCCTGCTGGGTTTTATATATAGTATATAGTAAGGAGGTTCAGTACTTTATTGTTTTCTGTTAAAATAAATTTAAAATGAAGCAGTTATAAACCTCATTTCTTTCCCCTCAGAGTTCAAGATACGGCAGTTCTCCTGTGCATGATGAAAGTGTAAGTTGAAAAAAAGAAGGTGTAAAATCCATAAAATAATGGCCGATGATACAAAACAAATTGGCATTAGACATTTTGTCCCTTGTTTGATTGATTTATATACACATATTATCTATAAACACACATGAAAAGTGATTGTTGGATAAAATATAAAAATGTAATAAATAAACAAGAAAACAAACTTCTAGACAATAAGCATTTGGCATGGTAGGTGACAAGATGTACAGATTTTGACTATAGTTCTGTACACAAAAGGTGAAGATAAAGTTCAAATAAGTTATTTTACAAGCAAGAGTTTATGCAACTTCTTATAAAAGAGAACTGCTAGAGAGTCCATCTCTTAGGTTCTTGTGAATTGTTGTGAAGTTCCTCTAGAATAATTCATAAATAGCATTTCTTGCCATTTGCCTTCCAAAGTTTTTTTAAGAACATTCTGAAAAACTGCAGTGTGACTTGAGCACATATACAACAAACACATACGCCAAACTTTATCACAAATTCAGGTTCTCCAAAGCAAGTCTGAGAACTCATAGACCATAGGTGCATAAAATTTGATTTAGATGTTATTTTAAATAACTTTTTGGCTCGAGAAATAACTGAATATTGCTGATTGTCTTTTTGCTTTCTGTACATTAGAAAATGAAGATGGTAAAGCTAATCTCATTTTGGTATGAAATGGCTATTTTATTTGGGATCAGCAAATACATTTTGTAAACAATGAAAACATTTTAGCCCAAGAAATGTCACATTAATTATTCCTCTTTATCTTTAAATATACAATCAAAATGAAGTATCACATGTATTTGATAAATTCCTAATAAAATTTCAAAGTCACTGAAAAATGAAAACTAATAAATTATCATTACATTTATTTTTAGTACTGTAGAACTAGAATAGTTACTTTACTAATGTTCATGATAATCAAGTTTCCAGTAAATAAAATAATTACTATAGTTATTTACGAATCTTTGATTAGGTTAAACACAAATTATCAAATTTGTGGCCAAATCCATAAATCTGACAGTCAGAATTATGTTTAAAATTTAATTAAATTGGATCAAACCATCTTTCTCATAAAATTATCAACTATGTCATTATTTATGACAGATTTGAGTAAAATGTCTTACCTGTAACCTCCTTTCTGCTATGTCTTTCAGTCACCAAGGACACTCTCTCCAACTCCATCTGCAGAAGTAAGTTCCAAACAAACATCCTGTAATCTTGTTAAGTTGACAGCTCTATGATGATGAGATAATTTTTGTAAAAGAGATGAAGCCCCCTCCCAATTCTACTTGCTGATTGTCCTGTTAACAGTCCTTCCATCACAAAAGCATTACAAGATAAGTGCTAACTTGGTAGGATACAAGTGGAGAAGCATTTTTGGAATTATATACTGTACCTGCTAAACATGGATAGAAGGTACAGCATAAGTAGAAGGATGTCTATGGAAATTCTCGGTCATCCAGTTATAGTTGTCCCAAAGATGCTTTTTCAACAAGCAGAAGTCCAGTTGCTTCTTGAAAAAGCATCTTTGGGATAAATAAAAGGAGTTTTATCAGATCATCTGCTATAATACATAAAATAATATTTTCTTCAGGGTTATCAGGATATTCGAGAACGAATGATACACCGGTCAACCAGTCAGGGTTCCATTGGTTCCCCTGTATACAGTCGTCATAGCTACACTCCCACCATGTCACGTTCGCCACAGCATTTCCACAGACCTGGTAAGGCTAATGAAACCATAGAACTAAATTTTAGAAACTCATTATTTATCTTTTGGAATCAGTAGAAGAGAAATCTACTTCTTTCAATTTCAAAGCTGTGTTTCCTTTTCCTTCTCACTTTTTGTTAAGTGGATCTTATTTGTTGTAGGATAATAGGGGATATCTACTGTTAGAAATTAAACAATTTTCTGAAATGGATTATATAGGGCAATAATTAATTAGGAAACATATAAAATTACATTTCTCTAGTTTCTTTCACCAGCAAATAGTTCTGAATTTTAGGTTCTGGGCATTTTTTAATAGTCAGGATTTCTGATTTTTTGAATATTCTTTAATGTAACTTTTGATTGTTTGTTGATAAAAATATAAAACTGTTTCTTTTTTTAAAAAAAGTCTTTATTAAACTCTAAGGGAAAGAAGTTACAGTATAGTATTTTAAAAAAAATAGATAAGAAATATTTTTAAAAAACTTGTCAGGAATTTGTTTCATTGCTGATGCTGTCCTGACAGAAGCCACTTTGTCCCTCAGCTCTAGTGTGGCAACACTGAAGTGGACAAAATGCCTTTGGTCAGACCAACTTCAGGGTTGACAAGCAGTCCCCTTCAAATGAAAAGGATTTCTTGCAATGAGAAGAGAACACAAAGGGGTTAATCACAATTCAGGTTAACCTCTTCCCAATTTCTGGTGACCTTGGTAATGTTATAAAAGTTGCCAATGTTTGCCTTTTTCTGTGATTTGTTTTTTCTATTATCTAATTTAGTGATCAATATTGGACTACCTAAACAGTCCTGTCTTTCAAGCATTATTAATTTTGTTTAACTTTCACGACCTGCCAAAGTCATTTAGGTACTGCCATCTTGATTCAATTAGTTCTCTTCTATTACATCTACGATTTTTTTAAATTATCTGCATCAATATTAATTTGGCAATTTGTTAATATAAATATGTTAATACTGACTAGCCAATTGAAATCTTGCCTGGCCTTTAAAACTAATATAACTATATAAAGTTAATACCATATTTTTTGAAATATTTTAAAATTTTGATGATACTATGGGAAGTTAATTGGCACCATCAACAGCCTCAGATTTTATTATTTTTCCAGATCTTATCTTTGGAGAAGAAAAATAAATTCACACTTCACTAGAAAGAAAGCTTATCTTTAAGAATGCCCTCATACCTAAAATATATATATTCTTTGGTAAGCCTCTTGAGTGCTACATTATTTCATTATCTCCTGAAAGTTTTCTTCTGGTAAACCAAGCAAAAATTTATAGTGATTAGAACTTATATTCTATTTTTTTAATATGATTCTTCTCTAGTGCGATAGTACATTAAATGATTTTATTAGGAGAAAAATTATTATTGTGGAAATTATTTGTTTGATTTATATGGCCACATAATTGCCAAGTAACTATAACTTTTCTTCTAAAATATAATAGGAGAACATAAAACAAATAATTAAGCTTTTATTTGTAACTGTTTAGTCTAGTTCTTCCCAAGATAATTTCTCCTTGAAAGTAAGTTAAAAATTAGAGTTGTATGAATGCCAGTTCCACCCTATTTGTTTGTATATAAGGAAATATGAATTTAACTTGAAATGGGGGAATATTCAATGTAAATCTGATTTTTCCACATTTCTTCCTATGAATTTTTCCTGCAATAAGAAACCTCTTTCATTTCCTTTGTGTAGTCCTTAGATTCCTACTTATGACAGCTTGTCCCTCTGTTTCCCTCAGCCTCCAACCACTTTTTCCTGCTTCTGTCTTATTTGGTCTTCTCTTTTCTTTGTTTCTGCTTTGTCCTGCTTCATGAATCCTTGCTGCTGCAGAGCTGCTGTCTAACGGTGTGCAGCGGTTAGCCCTCCTACGCACTAATAGTCCACTCTCTACCCACAATGATTCCCGCCCCTACTCCCCTTTCCGACACCACTTCATTCCCTATGTCAAAGGTAAGGAGACAGACCATTCAAGCTAGTGTCCAAATGACTGGAGATTTATTAGCATTCTAGGAAGCTAATAAGCCACATCTCCATAAAATGGCTGTCCACTCCGTAGTCCCAGCATGCTCAGATTTTTGTCATAATGATTATGCTAGACTTGGCATATCTTCTTTTCTTTGAGAAAGTATGCCCTTTCTAAGGGTCCTCCATAGATGAAGTGGTCCTGAGTAAAGATTTCTTAAGAAAATGTGACTGTCTGAAAACTGAGATATTTATCATTTCGGGAGATTAATTTGGAAACAGTTATAGTAAATTCATCTCTCTTTTCAAACACAGTGACATGACTCACATTTTCCTAATCTTAAAGTCCCAGACCACATACTAATTATGCATGAATTTTAGGGGTATCTTGCATATATACCAGCTTCCAATATAGATTTACCTAGTTATATATGTATGTATATATGTATAAAAGAACAGTTTCCTAGTTTACTAAGTCTCCAAAAACATTATTTCAAACTTTTTGGGATGGATGCTATGTTTAAATGTGTCCTTTCATCCCGTGCACTTGCCTTTTGAATAATGGAGCATGCTTATATTGCAAATTTAAAACTCTAATGTAGAAAGGTGCTTTACATTTTGTCCATAACAATTGTCAGTGGTTCTCTGGCATTTCAGAAAAGAGGGGTTTTTAAAGCTCTACTTGCAACTTCCCAAAAGAAATCTGTGAACTTGTTTATGAAAAATACCTATTCTAATACAAAACCATGGCTTTTCACATAGTGATGTGAGGGTCAGTTGATACATTTCATAATCTGAGACCGATATAATATTTTAACTTATTTAATGCCTACATTCTGAGAATTTTCTGATTCTTTTCAGTTGTCTTGCTCCATCTATCACTTTGAGCTTCGTGTACATAAACCTAGTTCTCCTTAATGACCCTTACATCACCTAGTTCCTGTATTCAGAATTATTTACTCAGGAATGATTAAACAGCAGAATTGGCTTAATTAATAAAAGAGAAACAAATTTCAAATGCAGTCCTAATCATGCGTGCTTAACCTTCCAAAAGCAATACCTATATCAGTATACATAGATCTCAATTTCCTAATTATGCTACTATAAAATACAATTGCAACTTTTATTTTCACTTTGTTTCAGTCATGAGGTCCCTTAAAAACAGAGGCACAACTCATATTTGCATGCACTTGATGAATAAATTCTAGTTCTACATTTTCATGTTTATCTCATGCTTTTTAAGACATTCTCCTTCCTGCTGTCTCTTTTAAATCTGTCATGGCAAAGCTTCAGGATCATCTCATAGTTACCATTTTCTAAAAAGTAAATCTATCTGGAAGACTGAATTTGTGGTTTGGGTTGATATTTCAAATTCAGGAAGTGGGGAAGTAAATATAGGTGAATTAAGTGGAATCAAAATGGGAGTCTTTCACCAACGAAAGCTCTTCATTAATGGAACAATGTCCTATCATACCTTCTAAATTTACTCACATATTCTGGAAGATTTCTGTCTTCCTAATTCACAGATGTAAAAAAAATCTGGTGGAAAATCACTGCAGATTATGTATGTCATAATTATTTCAAAGAAATGTGAGAATATGTTCGAACATCAGTGATGGTTATTTTCGTTTCATTTCTCAGTCCATACTCATTGCAGCTTCAACCTGGGCTGCTTGGAAGCTTGCTACTGCACATTGTTAATAGTAATGGTTATGAACCTAGTATTTTGCAATTCTCAGTGGTTTCATAATACTTATATAGCATATTCCCAAATATAAGGAATTTTTCTTTCTAGGAATTATTTTCCACTAGCTTACTAAATGAGAAATAGGATGATATCAATAACCTATCTTAACGCTATTAGGATACATATTTGGTCACTATAGGATATTTGCTAATACTGAAAAAAATAAAAGAATAGTCACTATAGACTATTGTGTATTACCCCAGAAGTGTTGTGGGAATAGGATCCATGTTCTTTCTGGGTACTTTCAAATTAGGGACAGTTACTGCTGAATTGGTCCCTCAAACCTATGACCAAGGATACTAAACAGCAGATTCTCTAAGAAATAGATTCCTCCAAAAGATTTCCCTGCAGATCATGATATTTGACAAACAATATTGACACTACTTGATTACCAAGCACTTAATGATAGTCTGTTGCTCTTGTTTTAGAAGTTCTGCTTTGGACCTTCTGTTTTCATTTATTGCTTTTAATGTTAGCTTATCTCTTCATTTGTATCTTTCTGTGGATGTTTTAAATTAAAGTACAATATTCCAAAATATGCAATGTACTGTTCTAATTAAGGAAATATTTGTGTGCTTCCTGGACAGATCATCTTAATAGTAGTGATTTGTATTAGAATCTATTCCTGAAGCAATACTGTGTCACTTCCATTGTGAACTTGAAACCAAGATTATTTTAACATAGTTGTGGGACATATCACAGGTGTAATATTTAGATGGTGTAGTTTTTCTAAATGAGTATTTAAAGAATGAGAACTATTAATCCTTTACCCCATCAAACTCAACCTTTTGTAGAAGAATATCATCTTGAAGGAAACCAAATGTATCAAGTAAGTTCAGGCTTCATGATTTGTAACCTTAGGAAACTTGTGCCTGCACCATTCTGGAGAGTTTTAATTTTAGTGCTGGATCATGGACTTAATTGCACCTACCTGGTCTCTTTGTGTACATGGATATGATATAATATCATAGTTTACTGACTAGCTTCAAGAAATAAAGCAACATAGAGCTGCTAGACAGCTGCTGGAGGAAGACGGAGTGAGGCCAAGCACAGAGGAGTACTATATCAGGACTTGCTTGTGTCAATAAAGGTTGCAAAACATATTTATATCTCTATCTTTATTGCATCTGCAGATGGTAAGGGTAAGGAAGAGCTGGGGAACCCCCAGTAGGACTACTGTGGGACTACTGTGAACCTCTCAATGTGGCACTCCTGGACCTCTCAATGGATTTAAGTATCATCAAAAATGGCAATCATCTAGATTTCAGGGGTTGGGAGTAAGAGGCACTGTGTTACAGTGATTCTTTGCATCTGTCTTTGCATCTGTCTGACAAAGTTGCTCATCTTTGCTGTGAGTTGGACTCTGGCTAGGGAGATCCTTTGAAAGCGACGTGTGAACCTTGTTTGAACCAGTTGGATCTTTTGCTGTCAGCTTGGCCCCTGTGTTCTGGACAAATGTCGTTTCTGGTTAATTAAGGCCTCCTGGGAAGTGGCATGCAGTTGGGTAGAAGCAATGATTAATGCCTCTTTGTGAGAGGGGATGGGACTGCCTGCCTTAAAGGGAATGTTGGTGCATCCCTTTCTCAAAAGGCCATCCTTGAATTCAATGGTGCTAGACAATTTTCATCCAGTCTCCAATCTTCCCTTTTTAGTGATGGTTGTTAAGGTGGTAGTTGGCATGCAGATATAAAGGGTCCTGGATTAAGAACATTATCTGAACTCATTTAAGTCTGGATTCTGGCCAGGGCACTGAAATGGCATTGGTTGTACTTGTCAATAATTTTTAGAAAGCTGTGGATAAGGTGGTACAACCATTGTGGCCCTCCTGGACCTCTCAATGGATTTAAGTATCATCAAAAATGGCAATCATCTAGATTTCAGGGGTTGGGAGAAAGAGGCACTATGTTACAGTGATTCTCCTCCTCCTTCTATGGCTGGTTCCAATCGGTGTTGGTTCTTTCCCACCTTTACATTATGGGTGCCTTAGAGCTCAAATCTTTTGTCTCTCTTTTTTAATATCTATATGAAACCTCTGGGATATATCATCTGCTCTTCTAGTGTTGACCAAGCGCCTGCAAGCTATAATGGTCTGGATGAGAAGAAGCCAGCTTCAACTCAAACCTGGAAGCTTCAACTCAATCCTGGCAAGTGGCTCTCCTAGTCCCAGCCTTAAATGTTACCATTTTATGAACCTGGGAAATGTTTCTTCTTCATGACATCATCTGTCCTATAGAACACCCTTCCCATTGAAGTTTAGCAGGCCTTCACCTTTTTCGGCTTCCTAAAAGCACCAAAGACCTGCCTTTTCCTCCAAGTCCTTGGATAGGATGAGATTAACAAGAAGACCTTGTGGTGGACTGCATGTAAAAGTTTAACTCTAGTGACAAGTTTTGATGTTTGTGGTTTTAATATTTTTATTTCACACATATGTTATTTTAATTGGTGGTAGTGAGCTGCCCAGGGCTTGGTACAAGATGAAGAGTTATATAAATATTTTAAATAAATAAATGTCTGCACAATCGTGTTGTAAGCCAAAAGTTGGGGGACTTTATTATTTGCAGTGATATTCCTGAAGGGAAGGATCTTTTGGGTCATGAAATCCAAACATGCTTGGAATCAACGAAGATATTACTTGTTTGTCATTTTGTACCTATACTTTGGAAATGGATAACTGCATCACTAGAATTAGTCATGCAGTTGGTAGGAGAGGATAGCTAGTTATGCATTTTCTTCCCATAGCTTTAAAAACTACTACTCAAACATTTTTTCATTGTTCTTTCTGCCATACTTTTTTAGAGCTAACCTTACTATTTGGCAGAGTGGTAAGCTACCCCGAGTAGTTGATTTGGCTATCTTAATTGGGTAGCATCTATACAGAAATAGATACAGATGTTTCCAGTAAAATTGAGGCATCTCTGTTCTCTTATCATTATCTCTGTCCCTCTGTAAAATAGGTTTGAGATATTTTCTGCTTTGGATACTAATTGCATATGTCCTGCCTTGACATGGAGACGGAGCAGATTCAAAGCATTTACTCTTCTGTCTCAGACAAGAAAATGTTTGGGCCAACCTTGCTTTCCAGAAGCTTATCTGGAAAAGATTCTGCAACTGAACAATATGTATCTCCAATGAGGAGCAATGTAGTTTAAATTAATAAGAAATGAACAACTGCACCAGGCATTAAACAGAATAATGTGTTAGCCTCTTTGCTCATTTTTCATGTGTGATCATTTTAAGTATGGGAGCTTCTTTTGCATGAGAATTAACTGAAAAGCCAACTTGATTTGCATTTTGCCTAGCAATAATTTTGCCAAATGCTGTTACTTGTATATTGAAACCCAGTAATTCCAATTGTCTTTTTCCATTCCTTTTCACATCTCATCTATGTAATTTAAACGCATGGTACCCTTATGCATGCTATTGATGAATGAATGAATGAATGAATGATATAATGCAAGTTGCCAAATTCCAGCCTAAGGTGAATAACTCCTTTAATATGTAATAGCAGTGCCTTATAATACTAGCCACATTACTTAACTCTCCTGTATATATTTTTGTTTGTTTTTCCTTCTCTGGTTTTCCCTTGCCATTGACTTTTGGTTGGGTTTTACTTATGCCTGCTTCTTTACTGCTCTCTTTGTTTTGTTTGTTTGTTTGTTTTTCCATTCTCCTCATTGGAGGCAATGAGCCATCCAGCGGTCGGAATTCCCCCGCCCCTTATCGGCCCGACAGTCGCCCTCTAACACCAACTTACGCTCAGGCCCCTAAACATTTCCATGTTCCAGGTAGGAGTGGCATTGTGTGTCTTGGTGTGTTGTCTGAGTGTAGACTGTAGTAGCTTTTGTAACCCTTTGTTTTTGTCTCCATCGCTGCATGTTGTTTAGTTGTTTTGAACTTGGGATATACCCTGAACTGCTTTGGGATCAGACTTGTTTGTTTAATTTGAGAACAATTAGAAAATGTGGAAATTTTTAGTTATAAAATTGATATTTCTCCAAATCATAACAATGGGGAAACAGTGATACATAGTGGTTTAATTTAGTGCAAGGCCCAAGTTTTTTTCTTGTTTGTCTCAGAGTTATATCATGTTGATACTGATTAGTATTTTTTCACAAAGGACAAAATATAGGATGCAGTCCTAAGTGTACGAAAGAAACTAAACATTAGCAGCCTTTCTTATAAATTTTTAAAAGAAACAAGAAAACTTAAGAATAATGAAAGGAAGAATTTACATGAACATCATCTCAGTTTCAATTAATTATTAAATTAGTTTTATGTATATGTCCAATATACAGTGCAATTGATTGGTTAACATAATCTTAGAAAAAAATAGGAAATTAACTATACATAGTGGTATAAAGAGACAAATAGGCATTGAAATAGACCTCTGCTGAAAATCCCATGGCAACAGAAATGGAGGTAAGTTCTTCATACCTTTGTATAATTGAAAAAGAAGGGATATCCTTCATTCTTATGGAATTAGTCTTTTTGTTATCATTGGTACGTGCAATATCCATTTTGTTTGTCTTCTGATTAGTAACCACACAATTGGTACATAATTTAAAAAGAACATGAGTCTTCCAGTAAAAACCCTCAAATTAATAGGTAGATACCATTTTCTAAAAGGGACCTACTGTAGTGATCAGGCACACCCAATGATTCAATGTGGGAGTTGAACACTTTATCTCCACAGGACTTAATACTTTCTGTGATTTATCATTCTCAGACATAGATGTGACATGTAGATGCCAAAATACCCTTCCATTTAGTTTTGAAATGTGTTCAAATTGTATAATTCCTATACTTTTGTATACTTAATTAAGTTATGTTAATAAATATTAAGTATTTATTAACTATTTATAAAATATATTTTAGGCATATTATTTAAATGTCGGTTAAATAGAAGAGATTCCTGAAGTACTTAGGACTGTCTTGGTTAGCATGCTGCTTTTCTCATTATTCTAATAATCCCTAAGAGGAAAACTGACAGGTTGGTATAACTGTGGAGCACCCGAGGCATATGGCAGTAGTGATCAGTTTTCTGATATTTCCCATTTTTCACTTTTCACTGCAACTTTGTTGTTCTTTCACTGCTGTCCCTTTGTGAGTCAGTGAGGAAAGCTATAAAACCATGGGTCACTTTAGTTACTTCAGCTACACATAGACCTGATATGTAATACGTTGATATTGTACTCCAAAGGATTAGCAGAATAGGAAAAAAATATGGACTGTATGCAATTTAAATTAACAAAATTAATTAAGGATATTTAGTATTTTCCAGCCAACATTAGAAGGGTACAAGGCTGTACCTAAAATTTTGAGACAGCATATAAACCTGGAACTCATGGCATGGATCATGCCTTAAAATGATAGAATATCATGGTGTGGTGTAGGAGGTTTTAGGATACAAATGGAACTAACCTTTTTTTATTACATCTTGGATATTCCCTACTCCAATAGTTTTCCTCCCACTATGGAGCTCTTTTTCAAGAATGCACATCTAAGAAGATTGGAGTCAAAAACCCAAATAACCCCTACAGCCAATGGTTCTCGGAAAATACACCCTAACTCTCAATCTTGTGTACATTTAATCTGGCTGTTATAATACTATACAATATCCATTACTGATACTGGGAACGTTTTTAGAGACTCTCATAGTAGAACAATTTTTTTTTGAGAAATAACATTATTTTTTTAAAAAAAGTTTTCTTTATTAAACAATTAAACAAACACAAAGATGGATAATTCTTACAATAAAAAAGTTGAACATGGTACAGTCTCCCTAACATTGTCATGAGAAACTTTTCTCTCTTGGTGGAGAAATAACATTATTTGCTAGCATATAACAGAATAACAGAGTTGGAAGGGACCCTGGAAGTTTTCTAGTCTAATCCCCTGCTCAATCAGGAAGCCCTATACCATTTCAGATAAACCTTTTGTCCAATCTTTGCTTAAAAACCTCCAGTGTTGGAGCATTCACAATTTCTGGAGGCAAGTTGTTCCACTGATTAATTGTTCAAACTGTCAGGAAATTTCTCCTTAGTTCTAAGTTGCTTCTCTCCTTGATTAATTTCCACCCATTGCTTCTTGTCCTGCTTTCAAGTACTTTGGAAAAGAGATTGATTCCCTTTTCTTTATGGCAGCCCTTAGATATTGGAACATATTCAACTAATCCATTAGGTACCATTCCCTAGATACACATACTAAATATCCAGCATGAAGTGATTCTGTTACACATGGAAAATTGTAGTATCACAGAGCAATCTTGTTTCAAAGGATTTGGAAGAGAGAAATGTCAGTCCCTTTAGGGACATTTGCTGTTAAACATGTCAAATACATCTTTTCTATAAGATTGTAATTCTTTCAACACAGAAATAGAGCTACTTGCAATAGAACATTTCACTTCACAATCATCAACTTCCAGGGCACATATAAGGTTCTCCAAGTCTGACTATGTCATCGGTGTCAAACTCGTGGAGTCACATTGCCATCACATGTTTCATGATGTTTTTTTCCCTTTGTGGAGCTGGGGTAGGCGTGGCCTATGCATGACGCATCTGGCCCATAGGCCATCAGTTTGACACCCTGGACTATGTGATTCTGAGCCAATACCACTGCTTAACCCAACCCCTCTTGATGGTTGCTATGGGGAGTGGGGGTAGAAAAAAGACAGCTATGCTAGCTCCCATGAACTCTTATAGAAAAATTAGAAATCTTACAAATAAAAAAATTAATAAGATTGTGGCATTGCTTAGAAAAGAAAAAAGATGTAAACTGATAAGGAGAAATCATTATAAAACCTCTGGAATGAACTCGGGATTGAATGATTGCTCTTTATAGAAGCTCTTAACATACTTTTTTTTCATTTCCAAGTTTTTGATTGTCTGTCTTAAATAATTTGCAATAAACTATCCAATATAAGAGTGCTGTACCATATAATGCATACAAATACCCACTTTCAGCTCTCTGTAGTCAAAGGCATACTTAGAAATAAGCTACACTGAACACAGTTATGCTTACTTCTGTGTAAGTGTGTATCAGAATGATATGGAATCGACTCAATAGCATTCCCATTTTTCTCTGGCTAATGAGTAAACATAAATGAGAGAATTGCTTAACCCAAAAATGATTTCGGTTTTAGAGCATATTTTCTAAGAATCTTCTCTTAACAAGCAATTATTAGCATTCTTGCTTTTCTAAATTTCAGCAGAATATGGAGTTTTCCTTTTGTAGCCAAACTCTTTTTTTAAAAAAAGAAAAATGTTCCTATATAAAACTATTAGAACTGAAGCTTTGAAAACACTGATTTGCCATTAAATTTCCCTTAAAAGGTGCATAACTATTTTGCAATATAAGCTGGTTTCAGGCCCAGACTAAGTAACATGGCAAAAACATTTTCTGAAGTGCCATATAGTCTTGAAGAAAATAGCTCTAGTTCAAAAGGGAATTTCAGAAGCAAGTTCTGAATCTTTATGTAAATGCACATCATTAATGTCGGTGGTTGGTGGTTGGAGAACAAATGGTGCTTCTGTGGCCAAGTTTTCCAGTTGATATGGTAAGCTGTGTTTTCTACAAATTATTCTTATCTCCAAACAAGACACCATCATTAATTTCCCTTGAAATGTTTATCCCTCCACCAGCACACTAAAGTACAAACAGAAAGTCTTACACTCTAGGGACATCTCATGTGGCCAGTCATGTGTCAAAATTTTTTATCATGTGTCTGTGATATTTTTCTACATTTGTGTGAATTTGGGTTTCTTTCATAAGACACTTAGCAGTTTTATTTCATGGTTTTTCAGTTCATCTGCCAAATCCTTGATTTGGAACATCCATTAATTTTATGTTTGATTTTTTTTCTCCTCCCGTGTAATAATTGAAAATGTAAAATTGTTCATATTTTTCTGCTTTCTTATTTTTTTTACAGATCAAGGGATCAATATTTATAGAAAACCACCCATCTACAAACAGCATGGTAAACCTTATTCTTTCTGTCTTCAAAATGGGATAATCAAATGATTGAATACTTACACGACCAATAAAACTTGTTTGTACTTAATGTTACATACAACACTAATTGATTATTGCATACTTTTAAAGTTAATATATTTTTCTTTTTCTTTTCTCTGTGTTGAGATAAATAAATTAAATTCAAATGATGTAGATTACATAATCTGTTACATAATCTGCCTCTCTGTTTTAGCTTGCCATTTGCTACAGCAGATGAATTCATTATGATTATTTCTTTACACAGGACCCCTTTCACTTAAAAATGTATGTTGGTGTTCATTTCAATATTTCAAACTGGCTTTATTTTTTTAAAAAAATGATATCAGAGGTTGTTTATAAACCAGTCCCAGAAACTGATAATGCCTGATTGCCACAATAAAATCTATGTAGGGTTGATCTACAATGGGTTGATCTACAATGAGTGACCTACAATCACTTATTAAGCTCCATGATTAAACAGAACCAAACTTGGTCCAACAATCTGATCTCTATATTAGCTTGATTTTTGTATTTCTATAAATGGTTATGGCTAATTAAGAATATTGAAGGAATAATCTCAACCAAAATCCTAAAGTATCACAGGCTAATTTGGAAGTGTTTACTGCACACACATTTTCTTGCTATTGGAATTTTTATTGCTATATTTCTAATGACATTTTTGTTTAATTTAAATTCATTTTATTTTATTGCCACCAATTCCTGAAGATTTTTTTGACCCCAAGGACCACGTTTGTTGCCAGTTTGGAGACTACATGGACCAATTCTCTTATAAAGACATAAGGGTGTCTGGTTGTAGTTCTCCTTTATGAACTCTCATCTCTTAACTTCACCTGGTTAAACAGACTACCTGAGAAAACAAACTAGTTCAAACAGACCCTGAACTAGTTTCAGAACCATTCCTCTGATTTAAGGGAATGTATTGCAATGGGAAAAGTGTTGGCAAAATGACCAAGTCTCGGCCAAATTTATTCTCTTCTGTTCCTTCTGTGTCTTGCTGTGCTTGACCTAACTTAAAGGGTAACTAATAAGAATCTCTTTTCTAAGTTGAAGCCAAGCACCAACTCACAAAAGGCAGTATATTTGTACATATACCAAGTATGGGAATATCTATTTTCAACAGGGTATGCTTATAAGAAATAAACGAATAGAGTAATTCAATTAAGGATTTCTCATGCTTTTCTTTTAGAAAAAAGAATACATTTTTATTAGAGAATCACATGTAATAGAAAACCTAAAATACCTAACTCAAAAAAAAACCCTAAAATACCTAATCTAGCTTTATTCTAAATAAATGAAAGAAAGATATAGCTTTCTAACCCACAGGGAGCCTAGTATGAATACCTAGTATGGTATTCCATTATCACAATTGAGAGCGAGAGAACAAAAATGAGAGTCCTGAGTATATCAGTCTATTTAATGCCCAAAAGGGAATGACCAATATAAAATTTCCATAAATAAATGTTCCATAAAAAGATTAAAGGCAAATTGAATTCTTCAAAAAATGAAGACCTCCAGAACATAGAATATAACAAGACTTATTTGCTTGAGGGCAAATATTGATCATTATGTTGCATTTATATTAGTGTCATATTATTTTAAAATTTTAACCCTGTCATTTCACCTTTTCTTAATGTTATTTTTATTTCTTTATGATTTTATTGTATCATCTCATCTCCCATTTACTTGTGAATATTTTACCACTGAACTCATCCATTTCAATATGTAAGTATTGTTTTAAATCAGGCCTTTCTAATGTCAAACAATGAGCCAAGGTAGCTGTTTTTTATCCATTAGAATTAGATTACCCAGTAGCTCTCATAGTAGTTCTATGTGTATGGCATACATGAAACTTAGAAGAGAAGGAATTAAAACATGCTGGCAATTCATGTTTCAGGTTCATCATTTAGCACATAATTTAGCACATACATGGCTGCAAAGAAATGGAAGTAGAAGTCTTGATGTCCCAGATTCCAAAACAATCATGATTTATTTTTCTCATGCGATACAGCTTTCTTCTTTGCAGCCATTTGAACAAATATGCAAAATAGTCAGCAACATGCATAATTGAAGCATAGTGGGGCTTTGAAGAGAAAGTTCTGGAAAAAATAATTATTCACTAACAAGACAACAACACTCCCACAATCCTATACAACAATGCTCATTTTAACTCATTTTTGAACAGGCCTTAATATTTCACAGGGTGAAAAAAAACAGTTGTAGAAGTCCAGCAGAGTTGCAGATGCTATATTTTGAATTGGTTGCTATTATTGCCATTTTGCATGTTTTTAAAAGTCCATTTATTTAATTGTCTTGGATATGAATCTCTCTAATGAGAAGGGGCTGGCTGATAGAGAGGCTGGGCAAAGCTTCCTTTTCTCTTGTTAAAGCTTGTTTAAAAAGCATAGTATTGAAGTAGCACATTTTTTGCAATAGATTGAAAAGCTTTATTCATTTTAACAGACTTACTTCATTGTTTTAATTAGTTTAATATGCTCAAGTGCTACAAATCATTTCTGATGCAAGTATGCTTCCAGAGATCTTGCTTATACGTTCAAAAAAGGTCTATGTGTTTTAAATCTCTGACATCAGAAAATATGTTGATTTATCACTTTTTAAATCCTGTTTGTTCCCTTATGATGGAACTATTTGCTCAGATACTTTTTATCTTTTTTCCCCACATACTTTTTGCATATTACAATTAACAAATGTTAGAAGATTGATTAAACTTTTAGGATTTTTTTGTACATTGAATATATCAAGTAGTCTTATGATTTAAGAATGCATTATAATAGAATAGAATAGAATTCTTTATTGGCCAAGTATGATTGGACACACAAGGAATTTGTCTTGGGGCAAATGCTCTCAGTGTACATAAAAGAAAATATACATTTGTCAAGAGTCAAGAATCATAAGGTACAACACTAAATAATAGCCATAAAGTACAATAAGCAATCAAATCATACTAGGAAACAGTCAATTCATATATTTATATAAATTCATATAAATATGAATTGCATCTGATTTTATTACCTTATTTGCCATGGTTGTTAAGCAAATCACTGCAATCATTAAGCAAATCTGGCTTTTCCCATTGACTTTGCTTGTTGAAAGCCTCCTTTGAAGGTCAGAAATCACATGATCATGGGATACTGTAAATACATGCAGTTGCTAAGTTCCAAATTTTGATTGTATGAGTACAGGGACACTGCAGTGGTTGTTAGTATAACAACCAGTTGTGAGCCACTTTTTCCAGTACTGTCATAACTTAATGGCCATTAAACAAATTGCCATAAGTTGAGCACTACCTGTATAGCAAAACAATATGCTGACCTTTACCACAAGTTAGGTTCATCTCAGGTGGTGATGCTCCCATATAGATAGTCACAGCCCAACTTCATCTTTAGTGTATTGCTTCTAAATAGTCCCAATAGATTTTGAATTATATTTGTTTTGTTTGAATGAATCCTAAAATATAAAGAGTTAAAACGAAAATACATAGGCAAATGCTGATATAAATTCTAGAAGTTCTCACTGAACATTTTCAGCAAAATAAATGAAATTCATTATTTTTCAGTTATGTATCTATAGTTCTGCATTTATCAGCAAAAGTTCATTAATTAGTTGATCAGGAAATGATATAAAGTTCGAATATACTATATATAAATGGCATTGTCATTATTATTATACTAACAAGCTGCTATGTAGAACTTCTGTTACTCCAGTAAACTTACATATTGCCAGCCATTCAAAAGCTGCATACAGACCTAGCATTATATCATAATTGGACTGAAAATAGCCAATTTTCTCTACTGGACTCAGCTTAGGGATATCTACTTTTCTGTTGGAGATGTTAGTGCCACACATTGTAAATTTCCACTATTTTAAATGTGCTTTTACAGGTAGTCCTCAACTTATGACCATAATTGGAATCAAAATTTCAATTGCTAAATGATGTTATCGTTAAGCAAGTCATCAAGTGACCAAACTCAATTTTATGACTATTTTTATCATGGTGGTTAAGTGAACTACTGTGGTCATTCCACAAATCACATGGTCATTACATGAGTCATGTCATTGTTAAGTGGATACAATTTTCCCCATTGAGTTTATTTCTTGGAAGCCAACTGGTCCCAAATAGCTATCACACAAATACAGAACACTGCAACTGTTGTAAATGCAAGTTGTAAATGCAAGTTGTACAAACTGTTGTAAATGCAATGATAGTTGTCAAGTGCCCATGTCATGATCATGTGACCATGGGGATAGTGTAGTGGTTGAAACTTCAAGAAGGGATGGTCAGTCACTTTCAGTGCCATCAAAACATCAATCTGCTGTTCCTTGAATGGTCAAAAGTCAGTTTCTATGGAAATTCTCAGTCATCCAGGTGATGGTCATCCAGGTCAAAAGTACTTTTTCAAGAAGCAACTAGACCTTCTGGACTTTTTCCTTGACTTTTTCCTTCACTTTTAATCCAAGAAGCTTCTTCAGAGCTGAAGAAGCTTCTTGGATGAGAAACGAAATGTCTTCAAGGAAAAAAACCCAGAAAATCCAGTTGCTTCTTGAAAAAGCAACTTTCGGTCAAAAATCAAGGACTACCTGTATTATTATATAGCGATGTGTGGAAACTTCAGCTAAAATGGGGAGGAGAAGTTAAGAGACTAGCTATCCTGAAATCCCTGAAGCAGAGGAAGTGATGGACAATGATCCCTCCTAAATCTTGGAGAATTTATCTAGTTCTGTAGAGTGCAGATAATCTGGCAAGATTCTTGTAAATAGGTGAGTGGTAATAATACATCGCTCTGATAAACTGTCAGTATCCCTATGGTTTCTAGTGCCTGACAGGCAATTATATTTTAAATAGGGCAATAGGGAAGACTGAAATCTCAACTGGGGAGACTTTCTCTATTTTTCTAAGAGCTACATTCCCGCATTGGTAATTTGTCAGGAGCCTAATTCTGGCAGGGACTCCACTTTTCTCCTCTATTTATATGTTCCCTTATATGGTATTCTGAATGATTAGTGTGTTTCTTCTAAAGAATATTTTATTTAGATGAGTAAATATGTTTCATGAATGAATGAATGAAACAAAGCATGACTTATGGCTGGGCCAAGAGTTATGGCTGGATCAGCTTTTGAATTATGGACCTCATTTACATTGAGTAGGAGGGAATGAGACTCAGTCCAGGAGAGAAATGCCGCTTTGGTTCTTGTGTTAATGTTTGATTTGTATGCACCATACAACTGAAGTTCTCAGGAATGTCAAGAATTTACGTATTATGGAAATTGGGATTTTATCTGTTACTAAAAGACAATGTGAAAAATATGATTTTATTGTATGGAATACAATAGATCCATAGCACTAATCTAGGCCATAACAAAGCAATTTAATTGGCTAGTTTTAAGTTCCCCCTAATTACCGTCTAGATGCAGCTGCTCTGGCAGCCCAGAACAAGCCTTTCGATGATATCATCAAGTCCTCCAAGTTCCCAGCAGCCCATGCTCCAGCACCCAACGAGATTCCAAAGATTGAGACAGAATACTGGCCAGGTCCTCCATCACTTGCGGCTGTAGGTATGAAACAAGTGATGTGGGTGAAAACCCATGCACAGCTTCCTGCTATCCATAAATACATTTAGGCTGCTATGAATGCTGCAAAGCTTCTGATGAGGACGTTGAACTTTTTTGCACTGACTGCTCTTAGGAGAATTATGCTCTGTATCTAATTAATATTGGAGTTGTGGGGGGAAGTGTTACAAACTTTATGGATTTGATGGCATCTGAATTAGCTGTGGGGATCTCTGTTCCCAAAGTCTACATCACAGAGGAGATGCTTCAAGAATCTTCTCACTAGAAGCCCCTTTCTCTGGATGGATTCCCCAGAATCTTTAAGGGTTTTAGCAAAGGAAGTTTTAAAACAAAAACAAAAAAATCCCAAAGGTACTACCAAAGTGTGTGTAGTGATCCTTGGTTACAACTGTTCATCAGAGTTTGGATTTGGTACCAAGTACCAACGTTTACTTATTTCTTTATTTGTCTGACTCACCTACTTGCTTTCTCCTGGCATATACAGATATTACTCCCTAAGGATACACCCAGAATGAAGCAGCCAGGTCAACTTACAAATGCATTATACCTGCTCGTGCATTGTTCTGTTCACCTTCTGTTTCATTCATTCAAGCAATGATCAGCCATGAGCTATGAATGCTGACATTGGAAGACAGAGTTCAGTGAATTCCTTAACCCATTTTGTTGCCTTCAGAAAAGCCAGCCTACTACCAATATTGTAGTACAACTCCACAGCCAGTTCAGCCTTCTTCTATTCTTTGAATGGGTGCGCAGTTTATTCATTGTCACATGTTAAAACCAGGCTCTTTTGGCTTGTTGTTGGACAGTAACAGCATGAATAATACTTGAAATAGCAAAGCTTATATGGCCACATTGCATCATTTTTGTGCCTTAAAATTCTTAACTTTATTTTCCATTCTGTTTTTCATTTCTCTAAGTATTATTTTTAGACCCCATGTGTTCCATGACACGTTGTTTAAGTTTGATCACCCAGAGCTGGTTCTTACCCTGTATAAATCAAAAGTGATTCACATTGAGATTAATTCAATATGAGATTATTTTGATGGACCAAATTCATTCATTCTTCTTCTAGAATTAAATATCAGCTTCATGCAAGAAAAAGATAATAATTAGATAAAAATTAGTGACATTTTACTTTCATAGTACTTATTATAAATCAGAACATTTAAATATGGGTTAGGGCATATCTGTTATTCTATAACTGAGAACTATTAGATAGGAATGCTTTTTATCTTCCATTGTGTCCAATTCTTGAAGACTGCCTGGACTTGCAGTTTTCTTGGCAATATTTTTGAGAAGTGGTTTGCCAATGCTTCCTTCCTAGGGCTGAGAGAAAATGACTGACTCAAGGTCACCCAGCTGATTTCATATATAAAGCAGAACCAGAACTTGCAGTGTCCCAGTTTCTAGTCTGATGTCTTAATCACTACACCAGACTGAGTTTCATTACCCTTTATTTATATTAGTTAAAATGGTAAAGGAGTAGTACAGAGAGTAATATCAAAATGATAAAGGTGATTAAAATTATTATCTGCAGTGTATAGCTTACAATTATTTTGTCTCAGGATGAGATTTGGGATGTCACAAAAGCAAAGCGTGTGCATAATTATTTAAATTGCTATTTTTAAAAAACAACAACCAAAGATGATAAAAAAGCTAGTTGTAGAATCTTTGCCTTTTATGTCACAGTAATTTGATTGAGTTTGAAATTAGAATAACGTGATACCAGTTGCTGCTCCTTGTCATATAGCAAATTATACTGAATTGACCAACTTTGACCACAGTTCAGTATGTGAAGTTAGTACAGTTACCACGAAAGATTGAGATTGTTAAAATCATGTATTGATTTGACTATAACTAAAAGTAAGAGGAATTATATCAGCAACTAAGGATTTATGGTTCTCATAAAGAAAAGGAATAGGTTCCTAAAATATTTTAACAAGCTATTAAAATAAGGTTTTTAATAAACAAAGAAATAAAATACCGTGAGCTGAATTATGATTCTAATATTGGAAATAGAGCGAGTAAATAGCTGTAACAAAAGTCTTCCTACAAATCTGGCCTCCATTTTTCCTTAACACATTCCCCTTACTTAACAAAATAGTCAATATTAATCAAAATGTTACTAATTATGTTTTTTGCTTTGTAAAACTCTCAGTACATAACATTATGCACTTAAATCTTCAAAATGGTTTTATTTAATGTATTTAATTCAGAACTGGAGTATTTTATTAAGACTGTATTGAGACAGAATTGCTGGATTATTTAGGTAATTTCTTCAACAATCCACTCAGAGGGAATAGGTTGATTATCACTCCTTATACCTGTACTTGAAATAAGTAGTTTTTTTACTGTGGCTTATGGAAGTAGGTTTTGATATGCGACGTCGATCCACTGGCAGAGATGAAGACCTTGAAGAGCTTCAGAGGCGTCGGCAGCTGCAGGAGGAACAGTTAATGAAGGTGGCTATCATCTGAATGTAAATTCTGTCTCTGTGTGCCAAAATCTGCATGATGCAAAGCTTTTTCAGTAGCTTACTTTTCCTCAAAATTCTCATTTGCAGCTAAACTCAGGCCTGGGGCAATTGATACTGAAAGAAGAGATGGAAAAGGAAAAGTCATTACTTGCCAGCAGATGTTACGATTCTCCAGTTAATTCATGTAAGCAGCAAAATTAGAAAAACATAAAAGGATTATGGGACATGACGAACTAAGACTACAATGCTCTACTGTATTCACATAGCTGAAAGTTGAGCTAATTGACTTCAGTGAGATTTAGTTTTTAATAGACCTTTATAGACTTGTACTGTAAAAAGTTCATATTAAGGCTGGTTCTCATCTAATAATTGCAGTTCAATTTCTGATAATACAAAACATGACCTCTAAATAATAACAAGGAAGTAGCTTTTTCTCTAATGTGTTTACTGCCTACATTATAACTCTAGCTATTTCCCGCAATGTATTATCGGATATTTTTAAATGAAGAAAGATTCCAAATGTACATTTCTCAGCATCTACTGAACAAATCCGGGGGGAAAAATGCCTTAAAAAACCCGTGTTCCAATTATAGTTACAATTACACAAAAACTTTACCACAGCCCCCAGTACACAAGCATCAAATCAGCTGTTGGGAAGAGTTCTAGGAAATCAGAATGTATTTTAATTTAAGATGGGATTTTGTAGCGTCTTAAACATTAATACTTTCTCTGCTAAATGTTTGAGGATTAAAATTGTCTTTTTTTGTAGCAAATTAAAAATGGCCATCTCTCTGAAACTTTATCCTAAAGTGTTTTTACATAATATAGATAAATAGCTCACAATGCTGATCTCTTGAAAAGCACATCTGTATTAGCTTCTAAAATAATATAAACATCTTATGTATTGATGTCCAATAAATACCTCTTTAAAGTAGAACTAAATTATGATTCCTGCTTTGATCATCTCTGATGAAAAGCTGTTATTGACTCTGTTTATAAGGTAAAACCTTTCCAGTATTAACTGAATATATATTTGCCACCAACCAGAAGCTGTTTTTTCTGTATCATTCAGAGCTGTCATATGGATCTTTTGAAGAACATGCACCCAACTTTCTCCATGTCTGTGAGATGGCCATAGTTAGGGAACTATTACAGGGAATTGTATAGTTAATCATGCATATAGTAACACATGTACTCCCCATAACTGCTTTATATAACTAGGATGACTGATTATGTATGTATATGATGTATGCTGATGTTTGGGTTTCTTTTTAAAAACAACAGGATTTTACTACCTCTTCATATAAAATAAATAGTAGGCAGTACATGCATCTCATTTTAAAATAAGCATTTAGCTTAGGGAAAAAATACTATGTCACACTCTTATAATGGGCATCTTTATGAGAGGATTGCTCTCATGCAACTTATATGAGTACCTCTAAAAACCCAATAAGTCAGTTCATAAAGAATGATTAAGAAAGCAACATGTGACCTGTTGATTCTCATAGCCTTTTAGATGTTCCCACTTTAGGGGAGGAAATCAGCCTCAATGAGTAATGCAATGAATTCAAGCTACTAGCCAACATCTAGAAACAAGTAAAGTAATAACTAGCAGTCAGCACGGGTTTGTTAAAAACAGATCATGCCAAACCAATCTTATTTCATTCTTTAACACAGTGACTAAATTAGTAGACCAGCAAAATACTGTAGACATAAGATTTCAGCAAGGCATTTGACAAAGTAGACCACAACCTACTTAGTAAGCTAGAAAAAAGTGGAATAGATAGCACCACCACTAGATGGACTCGCAACTGGCTAGCAAACCGTACTCAGCAAGTAGTCCTCAATGGGTCTAAGTCTACATGGAGGGAACTAAGCAGTGGGGTGCCACAAGGTTCCGTCTTAGGTCCAGTACTTTTCAATATCTTCATTAACGACTTAGATGAGGGAATAGAAGGGGAATTTACCAAATTTGTAGATGATATTAAGCTGGCAGGAACAGCTAACACCCAAGAAGATAGGCTCAAGATCCAGATGGATCTTGACAGACTAGAACACTGGGCCATATCTAACAAAATGAAATTCAATGTAGAGAAAAGTAAATTCCTACACTTAGGCAAGAAAAACCAAAAGAACACATATAGACTGGGTGAAACCAGGCTCAATAGCAGTAACTGTGAAAGGGATCTTGGAGTCTTAGTGGACAACCAGCTAAATATGAGCCAGCAGTGTGCAGCAGCAGCCAAAAAAGCTAATGCAATCCTAAGTTGTATTAACAGAGGGATACAGTCAAGATCAAGGGAAGTACTAATACCACTCTATAAAGCCTTAGTAAGACCACACCTAGAGTACTGCATCCAGTTTTGGTCCCCACATTATAAAAAAGATGTTGAGACTCTAGAAAAAGTACAGAGAAGAGCAACCAGGATGATTAGGGGACCGGAGGCTAAAACATACAACGAATGGTTGCAGGAACTGAGCTTGGCTAGTCTAGTAAAGAGAAGGACCAGGGGAGACATGATAGCGGTGTTCCAATATTTGAGGGGCTGCCACAGGGAGGAAGGGGTCAAGCTATTTTCTAAAGCACCTGTAGGCCAGACAAGGAATAATGGATGGAAACTGAACAAGGAGAGATTTAACCTGGAAATAAGGAGAAACTTTCTGACAGTGAGAACAATCAGCCAATGGAACAGCTTGCCCTTGGAAGTTGTGGAAGTGCCATCACTTGAGACTTTCAAGAAGAGATTGGACTGCCATTTGTCAGAAATGGTGTAGGGCCTCCCGCTTGGGTGGGGGGTTGGACTAGATGACCTACAAGGTCCCTTCCAACTCTGATTATCTGTTATCTGTTAGGTCAGGGATATCAAGCTTGTGTTGTCACGTCGTCGTCACATGATGTATTGCAACTTTTTCCCCCTTCACTAAACTGGGCATGGGCGTGGCCAGCACATGATCATTCAGGCCATGGGTTTGACACCCCTGTATTAGGTCATAGCAATATCATGAGACAGGTCTTTGAGGTAAACTGATACATTCCATAGAAAAAGTAAAGATATAATGACTGTTTGCTTATAGGAATTTTGTGTATGAGATGCGTACTTACGTGTTGTGTTTTCATTATATTTTGTGGGGGTTTTGTGCCTTTTCCAGATATCTAGAATATATTTTAAACATATAAACATATTATTCCAGGAGATCCAGGGACATGACAGTAACAGAACTAAAGAAGGACAAGGATGATTATAGCTTTCATTCTATCTGTCTGCATCAAATCACTTACTTCCAGGCAACAATCTATAAAAATGATTCACTTCTGGCTATACAAATGTGCCTTTGTGTATGATTACAGAGAGTAGCCTATTCAAGGCTAATCTGAGACATAAATTTAGCAGATTGCTTTAAACAAGCTATTTTTTTAAACCTCAGTCTCTGCCTCCAATTTGCACCATATGGAAACAATAGTAATCCTGGCTTGTAAATAACTACTGACAGAAGAGCAACGTTTTGCTTGTTTAGTGTGTGCAAGAAAATAAATTAGGAGAAGACAGTATGTTTTAAGCAATTTGAATTAGAGACTCAGAATTTGACATTGTGCTGAACCATGACCATAAAGCACAACTAAGCTAGAGGTGGTTGCTGTATAATGTGTAGAGTGATTTGTAGACAGTTAAAACCCATCTATGTCTGTAATATTAGAGAGTAATTGAACATTTCACATCCAAATTTCACTTACTGGACAAAGTCAGGGTCAAATGATTGCTTAAAAAGAATTTATACAGATGCAAATCTACACTTTCAAATTTTTAAAGTGATTTCTAAGATGCTGTGATTTTGACTATGTATTTTTATTTCTTAATAATTATTGTTTTCTCCTTCCCACTCAGCTTTACACGCCACTGCTTCTAAAACTTCTTCACTGCCTGGATATGGACGAAATGGACTTCACAGGGTGAGCAGACAGTTCTTCCCCAGACAAGAAAGTACACTTTAAATTTCAGTTTCTGTTCTAGGGAGCAAAAAACTTTTTTGTTGAAAAACACTCAAACTACAGTTCAATAAAGTTCTTTAGAATATGTAAATTAAAATACAATATGAAACAAAAATGGTAAAAACAATATAATTCAAAAATGTTAAAAATAGAATAAAAATAAAATTAGAACAAAATAATATTATAGCAACAGTACAAACATTTTGCTTAGCAGTCAAGATAGTTCTGCCTGTATTTCTTCCAGTCCACCATATTTCTCTTGTACTTTTAGTCTTTTTATGTGTGTTATCAAGGAAAGTAAAAAAGGGTAGTTACTAAGGCCACTTCACCTGGGAAATGGCTTAATTCAATGGAACTATATAAATCCAGATATTGTTTGAAAGTGGCTCAGGCAAACACATTCTTAATTCATTGAATTATTAGGACCAGCAGAAACAAATTAGCAAATTGCAGCAAAGCTCAATAAAAATAGTTGTAGATATCTTGTGGGGCTGATTCTGTGATCTGTTCTACTTAATGGAGCTGACAGTTTCCCTTTTATTGAGTCATTTATTTCAATGAGTAAATCCAGTGGAAGAAAAATATTGACATATGGACATAAGATGTGGTGAAAAGAAATAAGAGATTCAACTAAATGTTCTGCTCCCACTCTACAATTTCTCAAGACTCCTAAAAAAAGGAGTCTTTTTTTTTTTTTACCCTTCTCTTGATTACTTCACCCTTCTCTTGCTGAGGTGGGGAGGGAGATAGGATGTGGAAATTTGTGTCTGCTATCTCCATCTCATCACATTTTTATTTAGATCATTCCAATGTAGTTCTTTATAAGAAAAGAATTGAGTTGGGCTATGTACATTCTTAGACTATGTACATTCTTTAGGGAAAGCTTTTCCCCTGAAATATCTAAAGAAAATCTACAGAACTCAGATAGGAAAACCAAGAATGATAATCAAATATTACATAATCTGTCTTCAACTGTTGATGGGTTTTATCATAAAAAATATTTATCTATGGAAACTGTGATAATTACGAAGCAGTTTATTTTGTGCATATCTATCACTAGTGTCCATATAAAACTGGTACAAGATATTCGGTTCTGCAGGCAGAAATATGACAAATCTGCAGTTATTCCTCTCAAGGAAAGGTGTGGTAATAAATTATTGATAAAAGTGGACATTTTATGGAGTTATAAACTACTGTTTTAGACTAAATTTCTGCTCTTTCTCACCTTCAGTATACATACAGCTTTATAAGCATAAAGTACAATAACATTCCTCCCGTACCACTGTCAGTTTTATATGCACTTTTTGTTAATATCATGGATATTCCCAGATAAGAGGCAGTTTTGTCTCGTGGTTAAAGCACCAAGCCAGAAATCAGGAGACTGAGTTCTAGCCCTGCCTTAGCAATGAAAGTTATCTGAGTGACTTTGGACCCATCAACTCTGTCAGCCCAACCCATCTCACAGGGCTGTTGGGTGAGAAAAATAGGAGAAGGAAGGAGTATTGGTTATGTTTGCTACTGAGTTATTTATAACAAACAACAAATGGGGGAAGGTAAAAAAAATAAAAATAAAAATAAATGAGTATGTTATTGTCATGTTTTACATGGCCTTTGTAGTGATCTTTTTACTGTAATTCAATGTTCAGATAATTTGAGTTACCTGTTCATCTTTTTATTTATATATATATATATATACATATAGCCGATGTCCACAGACTTTGGTCAATACAACAGTTATGGGGATGTGAGCAATACAACTCAAGGTAAGTTTGTAAAGGAAATAGAATTTGAGCTTTGGGCTCTTGGTTTTTGAGTTACTTTTAGCATTTATGCTTTCTGTTTTGTTTTTATAGTAGTATATAAGATCAGCTCATCTTTCACATACAGCTTTTGGATACCATACTTAATCTGGAAATACAGCTACACTTGCCATTTGTTGAAAAAAAAGGGGTGGAGAGGATTGTTCAACAATATATTAAAACTGAAGAGGACATTGTAAAAAATAAATTAAATTGTAAAAATTAAAATTTAATGAAGGCAGAAAATATATGAATTTAGGGTTGATAATTTTTAGGGAGACTCTTGAGTATAAAACTTTCATTCATAATAAATCTTATCCTAATTATGTGTCTTTTCTCAATATATATCCCTTTTCAGATTACCAGGTTGGTAAAGATTTCCGTCCATCAAGTTAACAGAAACAAATTCATCAACAGCGCATCAACTATGTTATTCACATCTTAGAGGATTTTCTTAAAACTTGTTAATGTGCTTGTTTTATTATTAATTATATAATTATGACACTATGGAAAAGAGTGTCTTACTGTCAGTTTTGTGATTCTTTATAGCAAACATTTCTAAGATTGTCAAAGAAGCAATGAGTGATAGTTCTCTCATTGATGGATTTCTCCTGATCATTTTGATACCATCCAAAGAAAGTCCAAGTATAATTCTTATTATTCTGTAGTTATACCTCTGCTCTTCTCCAGATAATTTCCTGTCTTCTTTATATTTTATTGTGGTCATGGAATAAAATCTTCCAATGTATTTTATACAAAACAGGCACAATTGGTTATATAAAATGGCCAATTAAAAATGTAGTGTTATTTTTTAAACATAACCCTTCTCTTTACATGTTTGAATATTACTGTTATGGAAATCTCTATACATTAGTTACAGAAAAGATTTCATTGATGTAGAAAGAATTAAAAATTTTATTTGTTAAAAAAGATAAAATGCTTTGGTACAACTGAAAAGGAACCAAATATTGTAAAGATGGTAATTAGAACTAATGCAATGGATCAGTCTGTGGGACAGTTTTCCTTACATTCCTTATTCCCTGAATAATCATGTATGAATATTCTAGATAAGAAAAAGGAACTATATTTTTAAATATTTTAAATATTAGGTTATTAATTATTAAGTTAGGCCCTAAATATAGAATATTTGACCTTTTTAGAACTGATCAGTAATTTCTTGTGACCAAAATGTTATCTTATTTTGTCAATCGGTCTTTGGGAAGAGTCCCTGGGATTCTTCATAATTGAAAGAGAGAACTAGGAATAAAGGCCACGTAAATTAGGAGCCGCATCTTTATGTGTAGTATATATCAGGCATAATTACATTTATTATACATATTTCTTTGGAATCTTAGCATACATTCACGTGCATACACAGCATGAATACCTTTACTCTATCTGTGTGGGTTTGTGTGAATAAGGATGTAATCTATGTGTTTGATACCTACATGCTTCTGATACAGTTTCACCCAGATGGTCTTGTCCCTGGAATGCGAATGGACCGAGGAGTGTCTATGCCTAACATGTTGGAACCAAAGGCAAGTGCTGATCTTACTGTGCTTCACAACAATGAAGGGTAATTTTTGGAATGATAGCATGCTATTAAAAATGCTATTGTTTTTTAATGTGTTTATTTATATGTCACTCCTCTCTTTTTGGGACAGTAGGACATCCTCTTTATTTGAAGTGAGCACATAGGATAAGGAATTTAATATATAAGAAACTAGACAACAGTATTTAGGTGGATCTAAAACAAATAGACCTTAACAATCATGTGAAATCAGTTAGACCCACTAGTAACGTGACAGCATTAATTGGGATAAATCAGCAGTATGCAGCGGGAATGAATTCATTCTTGGTTGTGCTGCATGCACAATATAAAATGAAAATCAAAGCAGATGTTCTAATTGAAGTCCCATTGTATACATTTTTATTCAGAGGTAAATCCTAGTAATTCAATGAGCTTTATTGCCAGACTCACATAATTCCAGAATAGGATATCCAAAGCAATCCAAACAGTGCATGCAGGAAAGGGTTGTTACATGAAAGGCCATTTTAAAAAACCAGACTAAGAGTTGTGCATTTTCTTTTGCTTATAACACTAAAAGAATGCAGGAATTGCTAATTGTTGCTCTATATCTCATTATTTTTGGTGTAGTATAAAAAAGGGGAAGGGGGCAATTTTTTGGATGTGAAGAGAAACAAGTTTGAACACAGCGAGAAAGAACCACTTTCCTTATTCTCTCTCTCTCTCCCTCCCACTCCACACAAAACTACAGTGACATAAAGATAGATAGATAGATAGATAGATAGATAGATAGATAGATAGATAGATAGATAGATAGATAGATAGATAGATAGATAGATAGATAGATATGGCCATTAAAAAAAAAACGTTTTTACCCACAGTGTTTTTCAGACAGTCTTTCCGGAAACTCTTTTTTTGTTGTTCATTAATTTTCTTGGTCACTGATACAGGATATCAAGTTAGTTCTTAAGAAATATGCTCAGAATGTATAATGTCCTGGTTATTGTGGTTTTAACATATGTAGTCCTAACTTGGCATTATAGAGACATGGGAAAATTAAGGCTTATCTCTGAGTGTATTCACTTGAAATGTTCAGAGACTGTAAATAGAAGTCTTCCATCATCACACTGAGTTCACTCATCATCCGACTTCAAACAAATAAGCCAAATCCAGACAAATCACATTCTGGTTTTGCACAATATGAGGATGCAGCCTTACAGAGGCATGTTTATATATTACTGGTTTTTAGTCTCTAATACTTATTTTATTAAAGCTCAAGGTTTCTGCGCAAGATGCTTGCACTATCACATATAACTAGTTTAATAGGGGAGTGGTATGATGACTAAATAGATATGTAGGAAAGTAACTTTAGTTTAACTTAAAAAGAGAAATGGACAGGACAAATATAAGCAAATGAGTGGCCAATGAAATAACTTTTTAACAGAGTGTTTGTTTCTGAGTACATACGCCAAGAAGATAAAGGCAAACAAATGGTGATCTGTAAAAGAAAGAAGATAGTAAGCATTATCCATCAGCTTACCAAGGAGGGAGGGAGGGAGGTGCAGGAAGAGGGAGAGAGAGAGAGACAGAGACAGAGAGAAAGAGAGAGAGAGAGAGAGAGAGAGAGGAGGGACGGGGGGGGGGGGGG